CGCCACCCCAACGGCGAGCCTGCGGCTTAACGTTGGACCGTTGGGCCCACATGGGCCGCACGCGCACGCGTCTGCGTCCTGCGCGGGCGGCGGGTCCGCCGGCGCGACGCGGGCTGCGCCGCTGTCTCGCAGAGTCGTGCAAGGAGCAGCGGCGCGCCGTGCACAGGGAGGTGGGGAGGATGGGCAAGGATCCAGGCAGCAAACACCTTGGCGCGCCGCGCTTTTTGACATGTTCGAGCTGGCGGGCGCAAGCGCCCTCAGATAAAGACGCGCTCTGTGGCTGCGCCGCCCCAGTAAGCCTCCGTGGGGCACCACTCCCGCGCGAGACAAACAACCCCCACGCACGCCAGGGCGGGGGTCCTTGGCCGTGGGAAGGACGGGTGGGGCAACACGGGCGACGAGATTGCAACCCGCGTGCTTACCGGGGAAAGGGGCCGTGATGATGGTGTTGATGAAGATGATGAGAATGATGACAGTGATGGTGATGGTGTTGGTGATGGCCATGACGATGATGGTGATGATGACGATGTGGACGAGGAGGCACAGTGTAAACCCCAAACCCATCAACGATATTGGACTGAACCGTCCGTCCAAGCTCCCCCTTTGATATGCCCTCACAACGATTATGATGTTCCAGCTTCCTTTAGCCTTGACCACCGGAAAGAATTTCGAGCACCAAAACAGTACCGAGACTTGGGGGTTTTCACGCGTCGGGCCTTGGGAGGCGATGCTCGTTCGACGCTGTTTCGGGTCCTGTCTGGGTGTTCGAAATTATTTCTGGGATGTGGTGCTCGAGTACGATGGGAGCAACCGGACACAACGAGTCATTGCCACTTAAAAATGCCCCGTCGGGAGATAACTGTTTGAAGATTCAGAGACGGTCCAAACCCATGTTCGGGACTCTTGCGCAGCGAATTTTCCATGACTACTGCGTCGTGACGATCTTGAAGCGCGCCAGAGAGCCAACCCTGTGACATCGACACCGCGAATCAGAATTAACGTTCTCGCCGAGACGATCTTGCATCCTTTTCAAGAGCTGTTTCTGGTACGTCAACCATGGAAATGTTGAAGACGAGTGTGCGCGGCGCTACAGCGAGAACCACGATTTGAGAAGGAACTGCCCTCAATCTGTCAAGCTCCTGCGAATGTTCAAGACGAGTGTGCGCGGCGCTGAGGCGAGAGCCATATTTTGAAAAACGCCCTCCCTCAACCCGTGGATCTCTTGAATATGTGTAAGGCGAGTGTGCGCGGCGCTTGGGCGAGAACCACCTGTTGAAAAATCGCCCGCCCCCAAACCGTGAACCCCTTGTTTCTTTGGAGACGAGTGTGCGGCGCTACGGCGGGAACCGCATTTTGAAAGTCACCGGCCTCTAACCGGTAAGAATACAAATGCGCGCGGCGCTGAAACGAAACCGCATGGAGGGAAGCGTCCCGCCTTCCATCCGTGAAGTTGTTGCCATTCTGAAGGCTTCGGGGTCATACGTGGTAATGTCTCGGGCGGCCCGCCTGGCCCGCCCTTCCGACCTGCATCGGGGTGCGACAGGGAGGAGTTGTTTATAATGGGTGGGAATGGAGGAGGACGAGGAGGAAGAGGAGGAGGACCAGTGCAAATCAAAGAGGCATCAACGATGTTCTAATACACCCTCCCCCCAAGTTCCCTGTTCATAGGCCCCTGTAACGGTTAATCTTCATTGAGGAAACTGTCTCGTTGGAAAAGAAGTTTGAAGACCCTGAAGCATGTCAGAACATAGTTTTCGGGATTCCAACGCCACGGGTAAACCTGACTGTTGCGTGTTGACAATCCTGAATCGCGCCAAACGCCATTCCTGGGACTCGAACACCGCGAGGCAACATAACTTGTACACCCTCATGGGCCTGAATCATTCCAAAACATTGTTTCTGGTACGTTGATCATGGGAGCCTGTGAAACTTTGCAGTTTTTAAGACGAGTGTGTGCGGAGCTGAAAAGAACACCACATTTTGAAAAGAAAACGCCCTCAATCCGTGAAACTATTGTAGACTGTTGTGCGAATGTGCGCGGCGCTAAGGCCAGAGCCACATGTTGAACACCATTCGCCTGCAATCCGCGAAACTCTGGCAAATGTTTGAAACGAGCGTGCGCGGCGCCACGGCGAAAACCACATTTTGAAAGCCACTCGCCCGCAACCGGTGAAACTTTTGCAAAGTTTTAAGACGAATGTGCGCGGCGCTGGGGCGAGAGCCACATTTTGCAAACCACCCGCCCTCCATCTGTGAAGGTGTTGCAAATGTTGAAGCTCCAGAGTCATAAATGGCAAGGAAATCTCAGGCGAAACGCCCAGCCCGCCTTAACAACTCTCCTCGGGATGCGACAGGGATAAGTTATTGATAAGGAGACGGAATGTAGGAGGAGGAGAAAAAGAACAACAAGGAGGAGGAGACCGAGGCGGAAGCAGTGAAGGGGGAGGAGAGAAGGGGGAACGATGCTCCGTCACCCGTTCCCACGTCCCCGTTTCATCTCGCGAGGCACAGGGCCCAGGGACAAATCGGGTGGTGCGACAGGGAAGATTCGTTTAGAAGGAAGAGGAATGGAGGATTAGCAGGACGAGGAGGATGCGTTAGAGGTAGATGTGGTGGGGGAGGTGTTGTTGGGAGAGGTGGGGAAGGGAAGGAAGAGTTGGGGGGGCGGAGGGAACAGCGGGATGGACAAAGGAAGGGGAGGATGACGGAACTGGGGCACCAGCCCTCTTTCGCCGAGGTTTTCCTTTTTGTCCTTCCACTTTTTCGTCCCGTCCTCTTGGCACACAAACCCCCTCCTTCGTCCACGTGGGAGGGTTCCGAGTCGGGTGGGCCCCGGGCGCCGCCACAAGGCAGGGCGCGAAGGCGGGTTCCCTCTCCCAGCTGGTGGTCGTGAGGAAGAAGCAGGCCGACGATTGCGGAAAAGGGGAAACAGGGGGGAAGAGAAGGAGGGGGACAAGCCAGGTGCGCACCCGCCATACCTGACATCCGATTCTTGCCTCCCGTCCCTTGTGTCACGGCGCTGGTGTTTTTCCGCTTTCCGCGGCCGCGTGTCCTAGCCGACGTGGACCTCCAAATGGGAAAGGGGAGCTGTGTGCATAGGAAAAGGTGGCGGGAGAGGAGGGGCAGGAAGAGGACGAGGAAGGAAACGGAGAAGGACAAGGAGGACGAGGACGAACAGCAATGCCGAAATTGAGCTGGAAGGGGCGGGATGAGTTGGAGGACCAGGAACAGGCGGACGAGGGGAAAGGAAGTGGGCGACAACGATGAGGAAGGATTCGGATCTAGAAAAGGGGCCAATGCTGGCGCGAGAGCGCCAGTCTGAACGACAGGAGCAAGGCGCCGATCCAAACAAAAAGGATACTTTTTTCATTCCCTTCTCTGATGGCCAACCAGCCAGGCTCTAGGTTGACGCAAGCAATAAAACTGTCTGCGCTCATCGCGCTGAGCCCGCTTGACATTTTCTGGCGATTGGGGTGTTGCACATATCGATGTTTCACACGGTCGGACAGGGAGGTATTGTTCATCACAGCGTCGGCCTGCCCCGTGTGATTCGTTGAGGCAGGTCCTGGTGAGGATAGCCAGCCACGCGCCGAAACGCTGGAGACGGACAGGACCAGGGGTGCCCGAGAAGATGGGCATACTCAGTCGTAGTCCAACGGGTATGCGACAAAGGCTTCAACGCGGGTGCACATTATGCCTTGTATCTTCCAGTGATGTGGGTACGTTTGGCGAAAGTGGCCCACGTTGCATTGGGAACACAATTCAGAGACACTGTGAACACTCGGGTCGCAAACATCGACCATGACATAAGGACCATATGTGCCCGACTGAGGTTGAAATCAATGCGTGGGGAAGGCGAATCATCTTCCGGACAAGATCAGGTGAGAGAGAAGAGTCGTCTCTAGAATTTGCGCCTGCGGAAGGGGAGGAGGCGGATGAAAAGAAGGAGTGGAAGAAGGAGGAAGGGGAGGAAGAGGATCAGGAGGAGGGAATGTAGGATATGTGGGAGGAGGGGAAGGAGGAGGAGGAGGAGGAGGAGGGAGGAAATGACGAGGACGAGGACGAGGATACATTGACATCGAGGATGAGAAAACAACGCCAGGAGGTGGAGACCGACGAATATGAGCAGGGTGAACGAGGATTTGTAGGAGGATATGGAGGAGTCGCGTGAGGAATAAAGGGGAGGATGCGGAGGTGTTGGAGGAAGTGGAAGGGCTAGACGAGTTGGAGAAGGAAGCGACACGGATTCAGGACGAGGAGGGAATGGGGGAAAAAGGAGGAAAAGGATTAGTGGACAGATGCTGTTGAGGAGAAGGAGGAGCAGCAGGATTAGGAACAGGAGGTCTGGGAATCCAATGGGCTGAGGAGGAGGAGGACAAGGAGGAAGAGGAGGTGGGGGAGGAGGAGGAGCATGAGGAGGAGGAGAAGGAGGAAGAGGAGGAGGATCACGTTAACCCCACGATCATAAGGATACCTGACAATTGCAGTCGGGAGACCTCCGCCGTCCAACCGTGCAACCAGGGCGAGCGCCACACTTGAACCATCCATTCTCCGTCCGCGTAATTGGTTGAATGTTGTAAGGCGAATGAGCGCGGCGCTAAGCTGATCATGCAATTTCGAAAACCATCCCCTTCTATCAATCCGTGCAGGTGTTGGACGCGTTGAAGCCGACTGCGCGGCGCCATTGCGAAAACCGCAGTTTGAACACGCCGAGCCGCCCAACCGACACGATGCGTGGTCAAGCGAGGCGGAGTTAGTAGAGGGATGGAGGATGAGAGGGAAGAGAAGGAGGCGATGGATGACAATGAGGGGAGGGAGCCAAGGACTGCAGGGGAGGATGATCAGGAGAGGGAGGGAAGGGAGTGGAATGAGGAGAGGGGGGGACAGTGATGAGAGAGAGAGAGAGGACAGAGAGGGGACAGGAGGGAGGGGAGCGAGGGGAGGGGGAAGGAGGAGCAGCAGGAGGAGCAGCAGGAGGAGCAGCAGGAGGAGAAGCAGGAGACGGGGCCGTGTTTCACTTTGGGGCGCTCGCCCTATACCGCTTTGCTTCGGTAAGAACTCCGGGGTTTGGATGGCGGTGGGGTGTGGAGTAGGAGGACGAAATGGGTAAGGCACAACATGTCACAACGACAGTCTCCACTGGCAGTGAAGCGACACCTCTCGCGCCGACGGGTGCGTCTGTCCAATTCTCTGACCCTGAGGGGTTCTTTAAATAGCGTGTGTAGGGTGCCGAGCTTCATCGCACCAATGACTGCTCTTGAACCTAGTCTGGTATCATGCTGTGCAGAATCTCCTTATCCCTTCCCCCCGGCGTGTGTTGGACAGGGAGCACCTCCGACAACGACTTCTCAACTCGTCGCGAACGTAGCTTTCCCTATTCCCGTCTGGAGGTTCCTGGTCTCTTTATGACATTCCACCATTCTCCCACGGACTCTAGCGTACCTCAGCCTAGGGAGTGATGCGGACGCCCGGGGTGCGGTAGACACGCGCACGTTTTGCGTGCGGTGAGTTGTGGGCCTCTCCTTCATCGCCCCGTCCGAATCCCGCCGCGGCGATGGTGGCATACTTTTGAGATAATTGGGGGTATTAGTAAGTTAGTTACGTGGGAGTCGGTAGAAGGGCAACACATAAGGATGCACGAGAAGCTCTTCACAGCAGCGTCACCTACTGAAGCTCTTGTCCAGTCTGTCCCACAGCGCTCATGAGTGTTGTTGGGACTCATCCCGCAGTGCCCCGAGGAGGAAGAGGAGGAGGAGGGGGACAAGGAGAAGTTGGACGAGTTGGAGAAGAGGGAGGAGGAAGAGTTACCGCCCCTCCCTCCTCCCTCCTCATCACTCCTCCCTCCACCTCCCCCCCCTCCTCCACAACCACCAATATGCATACTGCTGTCCTCTCTCCCCCGAAGACCCCGAGGTCGGAGCCTGCCCCCCTCCGCGTATGTTTTTTACTGACCGCATCCCCCAAACGTGATGGAATAGACGTTTTACCATTCCGAGCGTCTTCGGTGTTGAGAATGGCGCTCCCGCTACAGCGCTGCCTTTCTGATTCTCGATCATTCCAAATTGTGCTCCCGCTGCAGCGCAGACCTCATTGCTTTGATGCGGATCTTCCAGATCGTGTTCCCGCCCGCTACAGCGTTAGCTCTCATTTTTCGTCCCCGATCTTTCCGAACCGTCCCTTTACATGTTTCGTTTTGCGTCATGCCTGGTTTACTTCATACTATATTGTCTAAATGAGTCGTGTTCTCGACCAGCGCTGGCTCTTATTTTACGCTTCTGGTGCTTCACACTGCGTCATGTCTGGTTTCCCTCAGAACCTGTTGTCGAACAGGAGTCGTGTTCTCGACCCGACGACGCTCAGCCGTGCTCTTCTACGCCGTGCTACTCCGTGCGCTAGCATGCATGTCGTACCCTCTCGGGATCATTGCCCTGTTCGACATCCGACTGCGAACATAGTTGAGTCCTGCGCCATGGCAAGGGACGGGAGGGAGGGGTAGGGCAGCAGATCAGACGCTTGCGCACCTGGCTTGTCCCCCCCCCCTCTCCTCCCCCCTCCCCCCGGGGGCCCTGGGCACTCGAGCCCGTAGACGCTCTCGCGGACCGCGGCGGGCGCACCCCCGCCCCGCGCGGCCCGCGCCTGCGCAAGGGCCCCCCCCTACCCCCCCCCTCGGCGTGCCAGGCTGCCGACGCCGCGCCCGACGAGCGCTCCGGCGAGGCCCCGGCGCCGCCGCCCGACGCGGGCGCCGGCGGGCCGCGGGCCGCGGCGGACGCCTCCCCGCCGGCCGCCGCCAGCGAGCCCGCCGCCGGCGCGCTTGCCGCCAGCGGGCCCGCCGCGGGCGCCGCGGCCGCGGGGGCGCCGCCGGGCGGCCTGGGCCTGGGCGCCTACAGCAGCAGCGGCAGCGGCAGCGAGGAGGAGGGGTGACGCTGCCCGCTCGGCGCCCCGCGCCTCTCGGCCGCGCCGCACGCGGCGCGCCCGCGGCCGGGTGCATCTCCTCCCCGGGCCTGTGGCCTCCCCGCGTCCCCGCCCTCCTCGTGGCTGCCTCATGGAGGCCTCGAGATTCCTCCCTCCCTCCCGGTCCTCCTCCGCTGCCTCTTCCAGGGTCCCCTCTCCCTCCCTCCCGCGCTCCTCTGGTCTTCCTCCCTGCCTTCTCTTCCGCCCCCCTCGTTCACTCTGTACGTTACGATGCCTCCTTGTCCTCATCCTTCCCCCCCGGTCGTCCTCCCTGCTCTTGCTCCTGCTGGTCTTGCCCCTCCTCCTCCTCCTCCTCCTCCTCCTCCTCCCTGTCCCTCTCCTCCCTTCGCTCGTGCCCCCTTTCCTCCGCCCCTCGGCGGGGGGGGGGCCCACCATGCCTGCCCCCCCAGCGCAGAACCGAAGAACGCTGCTGCTTGCGACAGCCAAGACGCCGAGGCGCGATGTTCCCGGGGTCCTTTCAGGAGGGAAAGAAACACACAGACACAATTCATCGGCGATTCCCCAGAAAGTATGGGAAAATATGGGAAGTGGGGGGGAAGACATAATCCCACAAACTATGGGAAAATAGGGGAATCGTTTCATTTGTGTGTATTTATTTGTGTGTCCCAGGGCCCCTTCATCCTTCAGGGCTGTTTCTCGACCGCTCGTCGTCCACGCAGGCGCTATCGGGCCCGAACGGGGCTTCGTTCCTCATGTAGCGTTCCTTCTCTCAGCGGTCTGACTGTACTGCTGGAATGGGGGGTGGGAGAGAGGGAGGGGAGAACGAGGAGGTTGAGGAGGGACCAGGGACGAGGAAGGATGAAAGGACGGACGGACTTCCGATGTTCGCGGCGTAGTGCGGTGCGGACATGGTAAGTCGATTGTGCGCGGTGCTCATGCGAGGGCCGTACTTGAAAACGGCATGTGCTCTGTCCTTGAAGTTGTTGGAAGCCTCCTAGCTTCAGCATCATGATTGGTGAGGAGTTCTCTCTAACCCGCCCAGCCCGCCCTGCCCGCACGTCTGGGGGTGCGACAGGGAGGAGCTGCTTTAGCAAGGAAAGGGAGGGAGGACGAGGGGGAGGACGGGGGAGGAGAACGGAGTCCTCGAGGGGCCGAGGGGGCCAGGAGGCCCAAGGGCCCCCGAGGCCCCGAGAGCGACCTCGCATGGGCAGCTGTGGTCTGAGGGGCGAGCTGCTAGCGTCCGCCCCCAGCCCCCTCACCCCTGTCTCTCCTCGTCTCCCTCTGATCCTCCCCCCTCCCTCTCCCCCTCCCCTCCCTCTCCACTTTTTTGATTTTGTCCTCTCCCTGCGCGGCGAATGCGAGGCGAAGGCAAGGACTCCTCGTCATCGTCGTCGCCCTCCCTCGACCTCCCTCTCCATCATCCATCTCCTCCCCTTCCTCCTCCCTCCTCTCCCCCTCCCCCCCACCCGCCCCTACTCTCCCTCCCATTCCTGACATTCCTCCTCCTGCCCCGTCCTCCCCATCTCCCTCGCCCCGTCTCCCTCCTCCTCCCTCGATGTCTCCCCCCCGTCCTCCCCGCTGCCTTCCCCTGCCGCTGCTGCTCCTCGTGCTCCGCTGCTCTTCCTCTTCCCGAGTCCACGCCGCCCGCAGGGCGCCCAATGTCGTGATTTTGCCCTCCACCTCGCAGGGCGAAGGCTGCGAGCCCAGGGGTGCCTCCCCCCCCCTTCCGCTGCCCCTTTCGTGGCCCCCTCGCGTCCCACTCAGATGCACCGCGCCTCCCGCGGGAGCGCAGAGATGATCGCACCCGGCGCGCCGCGGTCCGGGGCCGGAGCGGCCGCCCTGCTCCAGAGCGGGCGGCGCGAGGGCGCGCGCGGAGAGGTGCTCGCGCGGCGCGCCCCTTTGCGCGAAGCCGGGTGGCCCCGATGCGCAGCTGCCCCGGGGCTCAGCTCCCGGGAGGTGCAGCTCTGTGTCGGCGCTGGTGGTTTGTTTCGCGGTCGGACTGCTCGGCTCCGTGTGGGCAGATCCGGCCTGCGGTCCGTCTCGGTCTCGCTTTTGTTGCCGTTTCGGGATGCAGTTTTTTTGTCGTTTCCATTTTCAAGGGACATTTTTCCAGAAACGGTGAAAAAACGGCCCTGCCGTTTCCGGGGCCCGGACGAGGATGCTAACCAGCCTCGAACTTATCCCTATCCCTAGGATGGGCGAGGAAAAAGCGAGGACAGTCTTAGGGATGTGCCCTCAAAATTGAGGGAATCCTTAATATCGACATCGAGGCGAGATAATGCCGAACAAAGGGATGGGGATCTGTTTCAAACTGGTAAGATACAGCAGGTTCGCGTCGTGTCGACCGGTGGCGACCCCAGCGTGGGCGTGTAGGGTTGTACGCCGCGCGTGGCCCAGCATCGGCGCACCCTTCAATACGATGCGGCCTTGTGGGAAGAGCCGATCGTTCAGGTCTGCACGATCCCCGCGGTGTCGGGAACCAGCACCGGGGTCGACACGACGCGGACTTGCCGTACATCCGTTCCAGAGCGATCCGAAACACTCTCAGAGCGTTCCGGAACGCTCCGAGAAGGCCGCGGCGCCCGAGACGTCCTTCCGAGCCGCCAGATTTCGAAAATTCCCGATTTTTACCCTCACACGAATGTGTCCTCGTTCTGACTTCTCCTGAATTCCGATTTCGACTCGATTCGTCTCTAGATTCGGACTGGTCTGGCTTTTCTCGTGTATGCCTCGGCTTGGGCCGGCTGGCGTCAGTTCTGGTGCCGTCCGATCTGCTTGCCGATTCCTGCCGATCCGATGAATTTCGATGGTCGATTCGATCTTCCGATTCGATGTTGGGTCATTCTGCCTCCCCCGCCGCTGCGAGGCGAAGGAGAACAGCCCCGAGATTCTCATGCAGGTCGCGGGCGAAACCAAACCTGTGTCCGCTGCCTCGCGGGCGGGGCTCCTGGGCCGCGACCCCGCATATACGGGGCGTTTTGTTCGCGGGTGACCTGCGCAGAGCGTCTCCGTGCGCTCGCGCATCCGTGGGGACCGCGCCCCACTATGCAGGCAGACTGGCGCGGCTACCTGGGCGTCGCGTGTTGGGGGGGCGATGAGGGGGGCAGCGAGGGCTGCAGAGACGAGATTTTCCTGGGCCCCGGGCCGCTTCGGGCCCCACAGGGGGCCTCGATGGCCCGCACAGTGTACCTCTTTCTCCCCCCCCCCCCCCCACTAATGTCGGATTGTGATTAACAAATGGCCAGACGCCCCCCCGTGGCTGATGAATAGACCCCGCGGGTCGCGATACGTTTTTGAAATCACGCGCGCCAGGGAAGAGGAGAAGGAGAGGAGGGGGGGGGATGAGAAGGAGGAGAAGCAGGAGGACGAGGAGGAGGAGGAGGAGGAGAGGGAGGAGGAGGAGGAGCAGGAGGACGAGGAAGGAAGAGGAGGAGGAGGAGGAGGAGGAGGAGGAGGGAGGAGAGGAGGAGGAGGAGGAGAAGGAGGAGGAGGGTGAGGAGGAGGAGGGAGGAGGGAGGAGGAGGAGGAGGAGGAGGAGGAGGTTGAGGAGGAGGACGAGGAAGAGGAGGGAGGAGGGAGGAGGAGGAGGAGAGGAGGAGGAGGAGGAGGAGGAGGAGGGAGGAGGAGGAGGAGGAGGGGGGAAGAGGAGGCTGGGCGCAGGCAGGGCTGGGGACGGCGGCGACGACGGCGACAGGGGGGAGGAGGACTACCCGCCTTGCTCGGGCCGGACGAAACGATGAGAAGGAAGAGGGGGGGGTGCGAAGCCTGCTGCGCGCAGCTGGTTTCGGTCGCCCCGCCGAAGGGCAAGTCCTCGACGCATGGCCGCTTTCGGCGCCAGGAGGCTCGTGGAAAATCGGCAATGTGAGCTGTTTGGCAAATCCCCCTTTTGCTACGCCCCACTTTCGTCCGGCCCGCCTTGCCCGCAGGCCCGCATTGGCTCGACAGAAAGAGGGGCGTCCTGGCTCGCCCTTGCCTCCAAACGCCCCCCCCTTGCCCCTCGTTGGCGACCATGCATCGGCGCTAATCACCGGCGCCGCCCCGTTGATTTTCAATGTGGCGGGCGCCACCCCGCGATTCGCCCGAGCAGGGGAACTATGTTTTAAACACGTGCCCCCACGGATTTGTTAATCACACGCTGACGTTAAGCGACGCCCAAGAATCGGGAAAACGTAGAAGTCGAGTACGCCATAACTCGGGTTTGCCGACGCTTTCGGACGAGCGCGTTCTGCATTTCGACGGTTCAGTTTTGGGGGGATCTCTGCAGCGGGAGTTCGCGTCGAATTCCAGAATGGGTCTCGTTATTTTCATGATGGCGTCGTCGGGCCAACCCGAGCCCCCCGAACCCAAGTCCTACGCCCCCCCGAGAGATGCGGATACCGCTGCTCGCCAGCAGGCCCAGATGTACACCCCCGAGGCGCTGCAGTCGGAGGCCCGCCGCTGGGAGAGGGGGGGCGCCCAGGGGGGGCCTCCTCCTCCTCCTCCTCCTCCTCCTCCTCCTCCTCCTCCTCCTCCTCCTCCTCCCCGTCGTCCTCCCCCGCCGCGCCCGCCGCCGGCCGCCGACGGCCGACCTCGCCAGAGGGCGCCGGCCGACCCGCGATGACGGCGACGGCAGAAGAGTCTCTGATGCGGCGCCCAAGCCACCTCCCCTGAACTCTTTGGCGGAAGATAAACTCGTCCTTCCTCTTCCTCCTCCTGCTGCTGCTCTTCCTCCTCCTCCACCTCCTCCTCACCCCGCCTCCTCCTCCTCCTCCTCCTCCTCCTCCTCCTCCTCTTGCTCCTCCTCCTCCTCCTCCCTCCTCATCCTCCTCCCGCGTGTCCTCCCCCTCCTCCTCCTCCCGCCTGTCCTCCCTCTCCTCCTCCTCCTCTCTTCCTCCTCCTCCTCCTCCTCCTCCTCTTCCCCCCTCCTCTTTCGCATTCCTGAGTGGCTGTCCTCCACACGTTGGTTCCATTGGTCCCACACGTTCCACGGGTCCCACAGGAGGGAAGGCGAGCTTAGGTCCGCTCGCTTTGTGCACTAACTACATGCAGGTGTTATCATTTGTTCGAGCGCCGCGGCGACATGGCGTAGGCATCGCAGCCTCTAAAGCGTCCTATCAACACATGCAACACTCTTCGGTCTCCGCCCGTCACTTTCGTCGTCGTCGTCTGCCCTTTGCCACCTTCCCTCCGCTGGTGCCGCGCTGACGGTTCAGCCCCCCGCGGGTCATTTTCTTGCCTTTCGTTCCCACCCTCGTGTCCTCATCAAGGCTGGAGCCTCGCTCCTCGTCCTTCTGTCGTTGACTTGTGAATCGTGCTTCGTGAGCGCATTTCATGCGTTTGCACCACAGGGTTGGAAACGTCACAGGGTAATATCCAATTACTGTTGGGGTCTCGTCATTGAGCCCGTGGGATAATTAATGAATCCCCCACCAGGCCCGGATCCATGAACATCTTGAATCATGTTGCGAAGAATATGCGCACGAAATCGCAGCTGGACGTCCGAGCGATGGCGAGGACTGAGGACAGCACGACCCACCCCCAACCCAGCGAGGACGTTGACCAGGGCACAGACTGCTGAACATCGCTCCGGCGTGTGCATTTGTTCCGGCGAGAACCTCGAAGGAGAAGTGCTGGCAGAAACATTACCCTGTGGCGTACCCAATCCATTCGCATCAAGTAACATAACGAGTTGCCCAAATCTTGCCAGGACAAGGACAGTGCTGGCACCATAATATGTTGTACAAGCTACATGGGATGCACTGGTCGTGGCACGGTTCACAGGACAACAACAGAAAGACGAGCAGCGAAGGCCCCAGGATCGAGGAGGACATGGAGGCGGGAACGAAGAGCAGGAACAGGACGCGCGGGGGGCCGAACCGTCAGCGCGGCAGCGGCAGAGGGACGGTGGCAAGGGGCAAAGGACGACGACTAAAGTAGGGGAACAAAAAGTTGCATGAACATACAAACTCGGAGGTCCGCGCGGATTTCTCGGATCCTCGCTGGACCCCCCTGCCCGGCGCTCGGAGCGCGCCAGGGGCGGCGCCGGAGGCGCCGCCGGGGGGCCCCAGCGCCGATCCGAGAAATCCGCGCTGACCTCTGAGTTTTTACGTTTATGCCACTTTTGTTTCTTTATAAAACTACAGGAGGAAGCCGAATACTGTTGCTTTTGTCGATGCTACGCTAAAGATGCAGCGTTGCTTGCGCCATGTCGCCGCGGCGCTCGGACAAATTATTAAACCTGCTTATAGTAAGTGCAAGCAGCGAACGAGGCCCAGTTCGCCCGCCAGCTTCGCAGCCCCCCAGGGATGGCGCAGTCCCTTGGTTGTCCGCGAAAAACGTCGCTCCGCTGAACCCCCCAGCAGCCTTCGAAAGTGGCGACGGTGTCGCAGATCGCAGCCCCCCAGGTCTCAGCTGAGTTGGGGTAGGACGTCATTCTGGTGGACCACCCAGCACCCTTGAAAAGTGCCGACTGTTTCGCGGATCGCAGCCCGACAGGGACGGCGAGGTCTCATTTGAGTTTGGGTAGGACGTCATTCCGCTGGACCCCCCAAGAACCTTCGAAACTCGCGACGGTTTCGCAGATCGTAGCCCCTCCAGGATGGCGAGGTTTCATTTGAGTCTGGGTAGGACGCCACGCTGCTGGGCCACCCAGCAACCCTCGAAAGACGCGACGGTGTCGCGGCAGGGTCGGCGAGGTCTCATGTGAGTCCGGGTATGACGTCGTTCCGCTGGACCCCCGAACAACCGTCGACACTGACGAGGGACGCAACCGAGCAATCGTCAACAATTTTCGCAGATCGCACCCCCCCGGGATGGCGAGGTCTAGTCTGAACCCAAGTAGGACATCATTCCGCTGGATCCCCCAGCAGCTCTCGAAAGTGGCGACCGTTTCGTGGATCACAGCCCCCCAGGGATGGCGAGGTCTCAGCTGAGTTGGGGTAGGACGTCATTCCGCTGGACTCCCCAGCAGCCCCGGAAAGTGGCAACATCTTCGCTGTTCGCATCCCCCCAGGGATGGCGAGATCTATTGTGAATCTAGGTTGGTCCTCACTCGGCTGGACCTTCAGCGGCCCTCGAAAATGGCGACAGTTTCGCAGATCACAGCCCCCCAAGGATGGCGAGGTCTAGTCTGAATTTGTTTGGTGCCTCACTCCACTGGCTTCCCCACAGCCTTCGAAAGTGCCGGTATTTTTTCAGATTGCAGCCCCCCCAGGGATGGCGAAATCTAATCTGAATCTGGATGGTGCTTCATTCCGGTGGACCCCCCAACAGCCCGCGAAAGTGGCAACGGTTTCGCAGATCGCAGCCCCCCAATGATGGCGAATTCTAATCAGAATCTGGGTGGTGCTTCGCTCCGCTGGATCCCCCAGCAACCTTCGAACGTGGCGACGGTTTCGCAGATCGCAGCCCCCCAATGATGACGATGTCTAATATGAGTCTGGGTGGTGCCCCACTCCGCTGGACACCCCAGCAACCCCCGAAAATTGCGACGGTTTCGCAGATCGCAACCCCCCAGGGGTGCCGAGGTCTAACCTGAATTTGAGTGGTGCGTCATTCCTTCGACCCCCCAGCAACCCTGACGTGGCGGCGGTTTCGTAGATCGCAGCCCCCCCCCAGGGATGGCGAGGTACAGTCTGAGTCTGGGTGGTGCCCCACACCTCTGGACCCCTGGCAACCCATGAAAATGGCAACGGTTTCGCAGATCGCAGCCCCCCCAGGGATGGCGAGGTCGACTCTGAGGCCGCCAGATGACCACAGGTGACGGGCGAGGTATGGTAGCAGGCAGGTCGAGGGGAGAAGGAAGGTGGGGGAAGGAGGGGGGGAGGACAGAGACAACGGTGCTCTTTTGCCAAAGCGAGCACCCCGAGAGCACCGCAGGAGGGTGGGGAGAAAGGAGCGGGGCACGAGGAGAGAAGAGACAGGAGGCGGGACAGGGGAGAAGGAGCAGGTGGAGAGCGCAGTGCACTATTCGAAACGGTCCGCGCGGATCCGAGAGATCCGCGCGGACCGCCCCAAGTGGATGTTTATACCGTTATTTGTTCCTCTAGAATCATCGAGGAACATGTTGGAGCATCTTGCGAAACATGTGCGGACGAGGCCGAAATGTGC